GTCGTTGCTCGTTCCCCTGAGAGAAGGACCAGGCCAACCTGACATGTGGCACGCCGTGCACCCGATGCGGTAAGCCACGGGGAGGGGGGGGGCGGCGGATCGACCGACGACGCCTCATGACGAGCCGCCGCCGCCCCCCGTGGCCCTCCGGAAGCGCAGCCGTGGCGGAACGCTGCGGCCAGAGCTCGGCCGAGCGCTCGGACTGCGCATGCGTTCCTCCATCCGTTGTGGGATCCCCTCGGGGAGCACGCGAGGAGCAAAGGAGAAGAGGAGGAAAGGAAGGAAAAATGAGGAGGAGGAGGAAGAGGAAGAGGAGGAGGAGGAGGGAGGAGGGAGGAGGAGGAGGAGGAGGAGGAGGAGGCCTCTTGGGAGCCTCGTAGGGCACTCTTGGAGCCTCCTGGGGACCTTTCGAGGCCTCTTGGAAGCGTCCATGGACCTCTTCGGGGCTATTGGGACTCCTTGGGAGGCTCTTCGGCCGTGCGAGGGCGTTCCTGGCACATCTGACGCCGTCAGAAGCCGCCTTGGGGCCGTTCTGGGCAGACTCGGGGCCTTCTTGGGGCGCTTCAGGGCCGTCTTGGAGGCCATCGTGGGCGTCTTTGAAGTCTCCTGGGCTGTATTGGGGCCGTCTTGGGGCCCTCTTGGGGCCGTCTCAGGCGCCTCTTGGCCCGTCAGGGGCCATTTCAGAGTCGGGGTCATCTTGGTGGTCTCTGGAGTCGTCTTGGGCCGTTGGACAGCCGAAAATGAGGGAGCGCCAAAATCTTGCAAAAACGGATGGGAAGTACATGATATTGGCCTCTTCGGGCTTTCCTGGAGGTCCTCTTGGAGACCTTTTTGGGCCTCCTTGGAGGCCTCCTGAGCCGTCTTGGGCGATCTAGAGGCTATCTTGGGGGCATCTCGGCCCGTCTTGGAGACATCTTGGGGCCAGCTTGGGCCCTCTTGGGGCCTTCTGGAGCGGGAAGACAAACGACCTGGGAAGTCTACGGGTCCGCATCGGGAGAGAGAATCGACGGGAGACCTCTTTGATGGGTCTTTCTGGGCGGTCGGCGCGATAGGCCGAGACCCCACTGGGAATTTGTTAAAGCAAAGCTTACTTGCCGAAAGACCCAACCAGGTGCAGTTGCGAGTATCGCGAGGCAGGCGAGACGACTGAGGGGGGCCACAACACGTATGAGAGGTGTGGCAAAAATGTGCGGCGCGGGCGCACGGCCCGAGTGGAGCCTTCGGTGGAGCTCCGTGTATGGGGGGCTGAACGTAGGAGGGGGGCGCCGAGATGTGCCGCGCGGACGCAGGCGAACGCAGCCACTGGGGCTCCTGGTGGAGCTCATTGCGGGGCCAAGAAACGTGCGAGTGCATGCGAACTTAGCCACTGGGGCCCTCGGTGGAGCTCCCCATGGGACCACGAAACGTGTGAGGGGTGTGCCGAACTGTGCGGCGCGGCGGTGCCATGCGAACGCAGCCGCTGGAACCTTCGGTAGGGCTCCCTAGAAGGAGACGCGGGGCGCTGTCTCGTCAAAACGAGGGCCCAACTCCACCAGATGGCTGCGGAAAACTCAGAGGCCAGCAAACCGTACACTCCTTTGGCAAGCCACAGGGGGCGGCGGATCCAGAGGCCTTCGGTCCATCCCGCCACCGTGCCTAGGTTGTAGGTCATTGGCCTCTTTGATGCCGGTGGGGATCTCTTGAGTTGCCTCTCGGAAGCCTCTTGGAGGCGTTTTTGGGGGATGTTCCCGTTCCCGGTGTCTCGTTTACGGGTCCGCTGCAAGTTTTGGTAAGTGTCGGGGGAGCGTAAGACCCGGGTTTGCCAGGACTCGGGTTCGCCATCGTTTTTTGACGACCGCGCCTCGGATTTTGACGAGGAGGAGTTTCGTGGGATGTCTGCAGCGGGAGACCTCGTCAAAATGCAGGATCGGCCTCGTCATTTTTTGGACGAGCTCGTCGGGGATTTCCGAGTCCCCTGTACCCAGGTCTTACGTCCCCCTGAAAGTGGCCAGGGTCCAGGATTCATTGTTCGTGGGTTATGGGTTCTTGGACTCGGACTCTTGGGTTCTTGGTCGCGGCCAGCTTCCCAGGGCCTCGAGGGCACATACAGACTGCACAGTACAGACAGAACAGAGCAGAGAGCAGAGAGCACTGACTACTGGATAGAGAGTTTAGGTAGACGGTAGAGAGCAGAGAGTATCCAGCAGAGTTCAGAGTTCAGAAAGCAGACGGTTGAGAGCAGAGAGGAGAGAGAAGAGAGTGGAGAGGCGAAAGTAGAAAGAGAGCAGAGAGGAGAGAGAAGAGAGTGGAGAGGCGAAAGTCGAAATAAAGAGAGAGAGAGAGAGATGAGAAAGGTTAACAAAATTGACGAAGGACCCAACCATATGCAGCTGCGAGTACCGCAATGTGGGTACCTCTTTCGGTGGAGCCCTCTATGGTGCCACAACCAGTGTGAGGAGTGTGCCGAATTGAGCACGGTGGTACCGTGCGACCCCCCCCACTGGAGCCTTCGGTGGAGCTCCCTAGGGGGCCACGAAACATGTGAGGGGTGTGCCGAATTGGGCGCGGTGGTGCCATGCGAACACTTCCACTGGAGCCTTCGGGGGAACTCCCTGTGGGGGCACGAAACATGTGAGGGGTGTGCCCCCAGTGCGCGCGGTGGTGCCATGCGAACCCTCCCACTGGAGCCTTCGATGGAGCTCCCTATAGTGCTACAAAACGTCCGAGAGGTGTGCCGAATTGGGCGCGGCGGTGCCATGCGAACCCTCCCACTGGAGCCTTCGGTGGAGCTGCCTGTGGGGCCGCGAGCCGTGTGAGGGGTGTGCCGAATTGGGCGCCGTGGTGCCATGCGAACCCTCCCACTGGAGCCTTCGGTGGAGCTCCCTGTGGGGCCACGAACAGTGTGAGGAGTGTGCCGAATTGGGCGCGGCGGTGCCATGCGAACCCTCCTACTGGAACCTTCGGTGGAGCTCCTTGTGGGGCCACGCACCGTGTCAGGGGTGTGCCGAATTGGGCGCGCCGGTGCCAAGCGAACCCTCCCACTGGAGCCTCCGGTGGAGCTGCCTGTGGGGCCACGCACCGTGCCAGGGGTGTGCCGAATCGGGTGCGCCGGTGCCATGCGAACCCTCCCACTGGAGCCTTCGGTGCAGCTCCCAATGGGGCCACGAACAGTGTGAGGGGTGTGCCGAACTGGGTGCGGTGGTGCCATGCGCACCCTCCCGCTGGAGCCGTCGGTGCAGCTCCCTACGGGGCCACGCAACGTGCGAGGGGTGTCCCGAAATGGTGGACATGCGGAGGGCAGAGGCAGGGATGGGAGGAGGGAGGAGGCGGGAGGAGAACGCGGGGCGCAGAGGAGAAGAGGTGGAGGAGAAGGTGGAGAGAGGAGGAGGAGGAGGAGGAGGAGGAGGAGGAGGAGGAGGAGGAGGAGGAGGAGGAGGGAGGAGGAGGAGGGAGGAGGAGGGAGGGAGGAGGGGAGGAGGAGGAAGGGGAGGAGGGAGGAGGAGGAGGGAGGAGGGAGGAGGGAGGAGGAGGAGGGAGGAGGGGGAGGGAGGAGGGAGGAGGCTGTCTCTTCAAAACCAGGACTCAACATCACAGGATGCTTGGGAAAACACAAGTGGAGGATAGAGAGCAGACTGTGGAGAGTAGAGGGCTCAGAGTAGAGATACACGCCGGTCCTTGAAAGTAGGTATTTCTGGATTCCCAGATCCCAATCTACTTCAAGCGCCTTCCTACTTCAAGAATCGACATGCTGTCGCTGTGTTTTGTCATTCCCTGGGGGGCCTCGACCCAATCAACTTAATCCGCCTTCCTACTTCATGCTTCTACCTACTTCTTCCGACCGACGTGTACACGTCAGGGAGTTAATAGTAGAGAGCAGAAGAGGAGAGGCTAGAGGGCAAAGGCAAGAGACTGAAGAAGAGAGTTCACACAATAGAGGAAAGTAGACGCAATGACATCATAGGCCAGCGTCTTCAACAATAGTCCACCCGGCCAGGTTCTCGGGATCAAAGTTCTCGGGGGTCTTGGTTCTGAGAGTTGCTCAAAGCTGATTGAAAAAGTTCGGTATCCAGCGCTCGAGCTCTAGTTGGCCGTTCTCGAAGTGGTGGAACTATGGCTGATCGTGGTCGCAGCGTTAGATATGTCGCCTGTTGTACTCCTAGAGTCGGAGCTCCTTTTGGGTATGGGTATCAGCGCTGCGTTTACAAATTCAAGTTAGGCGTACCCGTAGAGTTGAAACATTGTCAGTTCGCAACCAAAGTGCTGGGATTCCGAACTGAGTATTAGACCTCTCGACGGCCGATGTTTGTAGTATTGCAGCTCGTGGTGGTCATGCTCAAAATGTTGGACCACTTCGTCCTCGCACGAAATTCGCGTACATCCGTGAACGTGGTGCTCATACGTGCCTTCAGCGTGGTACGTGTGAATGAAGTGAAGAACATGTTGTTTCTTTCTGGTGCGATCTACCCAAGACTAAGCAAAGATGGGTCTAGCACGGTTTAACCCAGTTTCGTGTCTGCCCCCGCTCAGCCCAGCCGAGTGGGAGTCTTGTTCGAGAGTAGCCATGTCAAGCTCGTCAGTGTCACAGTCGCGCTTATCATCCGCACCCATCTTGTTATATTCACTATAGCCGCTTGTATCGGGTCGGGCGAAAGGGGGGATTGGGAAAGGGGGGGGTACGAAATCTGCTGCATGCAGCTGGTTTCGGCCCCACCGAGGGGCCCATTCCTCGATACACGGGCGCCTCCCGGCGCCGGGAGGCGCCGGGAACATCAGCTACGTGAGCCGATTCTCAAATGCCCCCCTTTGCTATCCCCCCCCCCTTTCGCCCGACCCGATTGCATCTTGTCTGCATCCTCCGAGGCTCTAGAGGTGGTCCAGGAGGTCCTGTCAGGGCGTCCTGGGGGGCCCTTTTGGGAGCTCTTAGGCGTCTGGGGGCGTTTTGGGGGGCGTCTTAGGGGCCTGTCAGGGCGTCCTGGGGCGCTTCTTGTATAGCCGCTTGTATCGTGTCTGCATCCTCCGAGGCTCTAGAGGTGGTCCAGGAGCAGGAGGCCGAGGTGGAGGCCAAGCCCTCGGAGCCGAAGAAGAGCGCCACCAAGCTCTCCGAGGCGGGGGCGCGCCCTCCTGGCGAGGGGAAAAGAAGAGAGTCGAGGCGAGAGGCGAGGGCGCCCGAGTCGACCCGATGCTCTTCTGGCCGGGGGAGGAGGAGGAGGAGGAGGAGGAGGAGGAGGAGGAGGAGGAGGAGGAGGAGGAGGAGGAGGAGGAGGAGGGGAGGAGGAGGAAGGCGGGGAGGAGGAGGAGGAGGAGGAGGAGGAGGAGGAGGGAGGAGGAGAGGAGGAGGAGGAAGGGGGGAGGAGGAGAAGGAGGAGGAGGAGGAGGAGGAGGAGGAGGAGGAGGAGGAGAGGAGGAGGAGGAGGAGGAGGAGAGGAAGGGGGGGAGGAGGAGGAGGAGGAGGAGGAGGAGGAGGCGGAGGAGGAGGAGGAGGAGGAGGCCAGGGCCCCCGCAGAGGGCGGGGCGACCGCAGGCGGCGGACTCGCGGGGCGACCCGCGGGGGCGAGGCGGGCACTGCTGCCAGCCGCCCGCCACTCTGGCCGCACCTCCGCGGAAGTGCAGCCAGCCGCAGATGCGTCACTGAGCCAGCCTTTGGCCTTTGGCGTCTGGTCCGATAGCTCGCGTGGCTCGATAGCGTGGGCAAGCTGAAAACCCAACTTTCTGCCACGCATGCGCTTCCAAAAAGGCAGGGGGCGGCGGTGATTCGCCGTACAGAGAAACCTGGTCTAGTGATCTGTACCGGGGGCGCCCCCCCGTCCCATTTCCACGAACCAGAACTGCCGTCACCCGAAAAACACCAGTTACGGCAAATTTGGTTTAGTGAATCTGGCCAATTGAGGGGCTCCAGGGCCCTACCACTAACCGGGTCCCCTTACCCGGGGTCTTGGCTATACCCAATGTTGGCACAAACGACGCGCGTGCCGGTACAGTCAACCCGCATTGTAAGGATGGGCAACCTTCCCAACAGTACTTTTGCATCCTGGCTTCCTCGGTCCATCCTCGGCCACTTTCGCTGGCCGCGCCCAACTCGAAAAGCTTAAACATGGGCGTCCAAGGCCCTTGCATCCTTATCGCGCATCCTTACGATACGGGCCGACTGTATCCGTAGAAACGGCCACCGCCGTGCCCCGCGCGCGCGCAGACGCCGCCGCCCCTGCAGCTGCGCAGATGCAGCCTCGGTTCCGGCGAGCGGGTCGTCAGCATGGCCAGGCCGCAGCAGCGCTGCCCCCTTTTCTCACCTGCCGAGATGCTCGAGCGGCCTCGGGGGCGCTGGCGACGAGCAGCATGCGCGAAGCGGCCCCACGGCCCAGGATGTGCGTCGCCCAGGGCTCGCAGGTCGTGCGACCGCCTGGCGCCCTGAGAACGCGAGGCAGACCGGTGCCCTGGTGTGCTCCAGCAGCTCTGGGCAGAACCGAAGCGCCGCCTTGAGGAGAAGGAGCGCCGATCAAGACCTGGTCCCAGACATGCTCGCGTCGTGAAGAAAACACGATGGGATGTTGTTCTCCGTCTTCGGTCCCTCGGGGCCCTCGCTGGGCCTCGGGACCGTGATCAGCGACTCGGGATGCAAAACTGGCCCTGGGGAAAGGGTCGGGACATCCCTAGACCTGGTATGGACAACATCTAGACATCGGATGTCTGGCATTGTCTTCATGCTGCGTCGGTTCGGGCCGGCCGCACACGTATCGGCGACGGCGAAGTGGCGCATGGGCTCAGGGATGCCATGCATCTTGGCCGCGGTCCCCGCGCCGCACTCCAGAATGCTCTGGCCTTCGCGGAAGCCATTCTGCCGAGGTTGGTGCCGAGCCCGATGTTCAGCGATAGCGTGAGGATTGTGAACGCGTCGCCGATGTTGAGACCTTCGGGCTGAGCTCGGGTGTCTCGTAATGCCGCTGAAGAGGGGGAGCACCACCACGGACGAGTCGACGCGAGAAAAGAAGGGGGAGGGGGAGAGGGGGAGGAGGAGGGAGGAGGGAGGAGGGGGGAGGAAGGAGGAGAGAGAAGAGGAGGGAGAGGCGGAGGGAGGGGGAGGGAGTGGAGGAGGAGGAGGAGGAGAGGGAAGGGGAGGAAGGAGGAGGAAGGAGGGGGGAGGAGGAGGTGCAGGAGGCGCGCGCCGCGCGGATCTCCAGAGAGGCCAACGGAGAATGGCCTATGGAGAGGGGAGGGAGGAGAGGTCAGGAGCTCTTATCTTCACAGGCATCTGTGCCCATAGAAGTGGCTCTGGAAGCCGCGGCCCCAGTCATTCCAGCGCGAGCCGTATCCTCTCCTTCTCGTGCCCAGGGGGAGGGGGAGGGTGAGAAGGAGTCGGGCACAAGATGCGCGGGTTTTCCTCGCAGGAGCGAAGCTGAGACTGCGGGCTGGAAGCGCGGGTGCATACAGTTTGCGCCGGCCATTCGCATATATCCCCTTTTCGTTGCGGCCCAGCGTTCCTTCAGCAGCTGCCCGTGCGCACACCTCCCTACGCCAATGCACCTGTACGAGACCGTGCGCGCAAAGTTGACCCAGCGTTCGCTCGAGGTTCTACCAGAAAGGTGGCCAGGGGCTCTTTCGATCAGACCAGACCGACGGGCCGACCAGTCATGCAGTGTCCGTGCTGGCGCGGCTGGTGAGGGTGTCCGCGGTGCGGACTCGTACGGCCTCTTCTCCTCGCCGCCGCCCCGCGACTCGCCGGCCTCCGCCGCCCGCGCGCCAGCGTGCGGCCCGCTGGCGACATCCGTCCGCGACACGCCCGCGACCCGTGGAGCCTCCGAGGCCCGCGACTCGCGCGCACCGCCCCCCCCCTCCTCCTCCTCCTCCTCCTCCTCCGCCTCCTCCTCCTCCTCCTCCTCCTCTCCTCCTCCTCCCCTCTCTCCTCCCCCTCCTCCTCCTCCTGCCCCTCCGCCTCCTCCTCCCTCCTCCTCCTCCTCCGCCTCCTCCTCCCTCCTCCCCTCCTCCTCCTCCGCCTCCTCCCTCCTCCTCCCCACGGCCCGCACCCCCCCCCCTGCGACCCGAGCCCCGCCGCGGCCCGAGCCCGCCACCACCGGCGTCCGCCGCCGCCCGCGCCCATCGCGCCCTCCTCTCCCTCCTTCCTCCTCCTCCTCCTCTCCTCCTCCTCCTCCTCTCCCTCCTCCTCCTCCCTCCTCCTCCTCCTCCCTCCTCCTCCTCCTCCTCCTCCTCCTCCTTCTCCTCCTCCTCCTCCTCCATTCCTTCTCCTTATAGATAACTCCTCCCTGTCGCACCCCGAGGCCGGTTTTTAGGGCGGGCCGGGCGTTTCGCCTGAGACTTCCTCACCGCTTATGACTCCGAAGCTTAATAAATTGGCAACAGCTTCGCAGATGGAGGGCGGGTCGCTTTCAAAATGTGGCTCTCGCCTTGGCGCCGCGCGCATTCGATTTCAAAGTTTACAAGAGTTGGACGGATCGAGGGCGGGTGGTTTTCAAAATGTGGCTCTCGCCATAGCGCCGCGCACATTCGTTCTGAAAATTTGCAAGAGCTTCACGGCTTGAAGGCGGGTCGTTTTCAGAATGTGGCTCTCACCCCAGCGCCGCGCACATTCGTTTTAACAATTTGCAAGAGCTTCGCGGATTGAGGGCGGTTCCTTTTCAAAATGTGGCTCTCGCGTAAGCGCCGCGCACACTCGTTTTAAAGATTTGCGAGGGCTTCACGGATTGAGGGCGGGTGGTTTTCAAAATGTGGCTCTCGCTTTAGCGCCGCGCACATTCGTTCTTAAAAAATGCAAAAGTTTCACGGTTTGAAGGCGGGTCGTTTTCAAGATTTGGTTCTCGCCTAAGCGCCGCGCACACTCGTTTAAAACAGTTGCAAAAGCTTCACGGATTGACGGCGGCTCCTTTTCAAAATGTGGTTCTCGCCTTGGCGCCGCGCACATGTGCTTTTTCACTTGCAAGAGGTGCACGGACTTCCATGATCAACGCACCAGAAATTGTGTTTGGGAGGGATTCAGGGTTATGCGGGCGCAACAGTTATGTTGGTTCGCGGTGTTGAAATCCCAAAAATGGCGTCCTGGCCCGATTCTGGATCGTCAAAACGCAGCAAGCAAATTGCTACGTGGCGTTGGCATCCCGAGAACAATGTTTTGGCACGCTTCAGGATCTTCAAGTTGCTGTCTTCCAACGAGGCAGTCCCCTCAATTGAAATGAACCGTTGTAGGGGCCTATGAAAAAGGAGCTCGGAGGGAGGGTTAATTCCAACATCATCGATGACTCTTGGGTTTCCACTGGTCCTCCTCCTCCTCCTCGTCCCCTCCTCCTCCACAATTACACGATACAGATACTATTCTCCTCTCTCCCCTGATGGCGTCCGAAAAATGTTCAGCCCCCCCCGCGCATCATGTTTTACACCGGATTCCCTGGAGTTGGGTTTTCGCTTGGGTTTGTGTTTCAAAATGTTGTTCCCGCTGAAGCATTGGCCTCATTTTCGAGCTTCCGCTCGTTCCGACTCGTGCTCCCGCTGCAGCGTTGGCTTCATTTACGCGCTTCCGCTCGTTTCGAATCGTGCTCCCACTGCAGCGCTGGCCTCATTTCCGCGCTTCCGCTCGTTCCGAATCGTGCTCTCGCTGCAGCGTTGGCGTCATTAGTTTTAGTGCATTCCACGGCGTGCAATGCAATGCTAGGTGGTGCTCCGCTGTGCGATGCCATGCCTTCAGCTGCAATGCTTGGATATGCAGTGCTTGACTACGCAGTGCCACGCCATGCTATGCCATGCTACGCGTTGATCTTCAACGCCAAGATATGCCATGTTCTGTTATGCGCCGCTGTGCGATGCCATTATTTGCGTTGCAATGCACGCCACGCTATGACATACTACGCTCTGCCATGCTCTTCTACGCCCTGCTATGCCCTGCTCTACGATGCATCACGCACCCTCTCGGGATCATTGCCCTGCTCGACATCCGATTGCGCGAATAGAGAGGAGATCTACGCCATGGTAAAGGATGGGAGGCACGGGTAGGACGTCAGATATGACGCGAGCGCACCTAGCTTGTCCTACCCCTCCTCCTCCTCCTCCTCCTCCTCCTCCTCCTCCTCCTCCTCCTCCTCCTCCTCCTCGTCCTCCTCCATTC